CATCGAAACTAAAGGAAACAGTCAGTCAACATAGTTCATAGGCGGTCGGGATTATTTGAAAATGGAAAGTAGCATTCATGAATAAGCAAATGATAGCTGATGTAATAAAGAAAACTTAAGTTCTGGCCACCCACGAAGAAAATCTGGATAAGAGAACATATCACTAGAGATGACAGTGAAATACTGCAGAAGGAATTGGAAGAGGTTAAGAACAAAACAAACAAAGGAAATAGAAAAAAAAATAATTAGGAGTGTGAGGCCTCTAAGCAAAACAAGTCTACTATCGGAACTGAAATGTAAATACACAAATAATTGCCTTACAACAAAAAGGATTACCGAAAGTTTATACAAAAAATAGTTAACATAATTAAAAATGGTTTATCTTCAAAGTTACTAGAACTAGATACAATTACTGAAGCTCATAAACCAGATGTAATATGCATCACTGAATCCAAATTGGATCCCTCTGTAGACGATGTAACATTAAAACTTCTAGACTACAATATTTGGAGAAAAGACAGGGCAAATGGTAGTGGAGAGGGGGAATAGCAATATTAACAAGGAAAGGAATTATTATAAAGAAAATATTAATTAAGCAAGACCTCATAGTAGAACTAAAGGCAATTGCGGTAGAAAAACAAACAACAGTGTACATACCACCTCTCACATCGGTGTGGTCACAAGATTACCAAAAAATAACTCAAGACCTGGAAGAAGTGCTACAACTTTCGGAACCAACGCAAAAGTTCGTGGAATGCAAAATTACTAGAAATCATAAATGAGTATTGCCTTTTCCAAAATGACCATACCAGGGTAAGAGGGAAACAGATCGTCTATGCTTGACCTAATATTCACAAAGCATAAAGATGATATTAAGGGTGTGGAGTACGGTCCTCCTCTTGGAAAAAATGAACTTCACACTCCGTGTCCCGTCATTTTTCGAGTATATTCAAATAAATTCTTTTCCTAAACAAAGACAAAAAAATCTGTCCTAACTACCACAGCAGTATCACTAAAGCCTGTCAACGCTAAAAGTAATACCACAAACAACAATGATAATGACCATAGTAATATGATAGGGGAAACAAATGTCAAAATTACGTGGACCTGTTTATTGCCAATACAGATGACTTTTTGATCAACTATTCTGGCACATTATATAACCGAAGTAACCAAAATAAACCTCCAGAGTGGTTTCGAGCGTTACAGTGCATCGTCCTTCATGGTCAATCAACTTCCCTCGTGGGGCTACTGACCTTTGGGAGGCTGTGGCAGTTAATGTTCCTGATTTTGTGATCTTTACTGACGTTTAAGAACTTTACAGGCCGTGTCCCACCATTTTTCGAGTATATTTAGTAACACAGCAATATTACTTCTCACTTCTTTGTTTGTTTATGTTTACAATTATTCATCTTAATTACTATGATGTGGCTGAGGACTCAGATTACTTGTGTCCTTAAGAAAATTGGAAAAAAAGGTTTTAAATATTCAGTTGCTAGATTTTATGAATATTTTCTTTAGTCCTAAAGGGTAACTCTTCTCCCATTCAGTGGAACAATCTTTATTTTCCATTTTTAAAACTATACCATTATATTACTCAATTAAATCAATTCAGAAAAATAACTGGAGACCAAAGAAAGAAGAAGAACTAGAAGAAAAGAAAACCCAGATGATGCGTATGGTTATCATGATTTTTTAAAAGTTCACAGCAAGGGTACGTATGCTAATTATTCAGTCCTCCTGCCTCTCCTCTCTCAGCTATGATCATGCCTATATTGTAAGCGAGTATACACTTACTTACCAGTATGATTACCCATTTTGATAAATAGACACACACACATCTATATATATTTAGGTATATATATGTACCTGAGAAAGAGAGAGAGAGAGAGAGAGAGAGAGAGAGAGAGAGAGAGAGAGAGAGAGAGAGAGAGAGAGAGAGAGAGAGAGAGAGAGAGAGAGAGAGAGAGAGAGAGAGTTCACCAAAAGTAACGGTAACTGTAACTCGTTAGTTTTCCGAGGAAGTAATATATTAAGTAATTAAGTTATATTTTCATACGGGAGACGGTAATGATAACGATGTTTTAAATTGTAATATACTCACTAATGTGTGTGTGTATATGTTTGTATGTATGTATATATACATACATAGATACATACATACTTACATACATACACACACACCCACACACACACACACACGCACGCACGCACGCACACACACACGCACACACACACACACACACACACACATATATATATATATATATATATATATATATATATATATATATATATATATATATATATGTATATATATATATATATATATATATATATATATATATATATATATATATATATATATGTGCATATGTGTGTGTGTGTGTGTGTGTGTGTGTGTGTGTGTGTGTATGTGTGTGTGTGACTACGTGTGTATGTGTGTGTGTGTGTGTGGGGGGGGTGTATGTGTGCGTGTGTGTGTGTGTGTGTGTGTGTGTGTGTGTGTGTGTGTGTGTGTGTGTGTGTGTGTGTGTGTATGTGTGTATGTGTGTATGTGTGTATGTGTGTGTATGTGGGTGTGTGTGTGTGTGTGTAAATAGCCAATAGTGTAACACGCAGCAACACACCAATGGAAAAACACACAAGGCCATCGTTGTATTTTTAATCCAATTGGGTTCAGGGTCGTTGGAACAGGCGAGGGCCAAGTGGGTTAGTCCCTGCTTTATCTTCTCTTTGCTGTATAACGCAACTCAGATTCATTGTCAGTTTGGTGAAGATATTTTGAATATGCAACAAGATTAGACTGCAGATCTAACATATCTGAAATTGTATGTTTCATTAAAAAATGGCATATTTAGTGTGAAAATCGTGGCGGGCTCGTGACGTCAGAGAATTCTTGCATTGCCGTTGGCTGTCACGGAGGGAGTGTTGGGCCATGCCGCGCCACTAATACGTCACCTTCGTTTTTGCCAAGTTATTTTCATATTTATTATTTTCTTAAAAAGATAATGCTTCTGAATGTGTTTCAATCATAACTTGACGAATCTGTAATTAACCACCGATCGCAGTGTTTCCCAAGATTTCACAAGGCAGTTGACAAAGAATTTGCAAATACTTTTGAGAAAATTTCCTGGTTGAAAGCAAAGAGCCCTCATTACATAAGCAGCAACGATTACAACGCCTTCGAATCACAGAAGAGGACCAAACTTGGGAGGGGAGAGGGGGGAGGGGAGGAGAGGTGTTTACAATGATGAAAAGCTCTCTAACATTTACCTATGAAAACAAACGTGCGATTTCACCTCGCCACTACGTTCCCACGACCAAATCCGAAGAAACCAATACCACAGAACCATAGAACTTAAAACAGCCAGTAGAGCCAAGCAACGAAATAAATACAGTAGAATATGGCAATCGGCGGCAGGACGTTGGCACTGAGCCTCCAAGCCACGAGGCACCCCAGAGGCACTCTCAACGCTCAGTCGGTTCTTGTTGAGACCAAGAACCCTTCCTCTGTCTCTCACTTCCATCCTGTCCTCATATATTTTTTTTAAATCTGCGTATCGATTTACACTGTGGAATTCGTACGTGCGTTTGTTAATTTCGACCTTACTGCTTGTGCAAAATAAAAAGATATTTTGATACAGGAAAGAGTCAAGGAGTTCTGAGGATACTAAAAGGTAAGTTGGATTATTGCACCGGTACAGTTCAACTAATACAGTTTTGTATATTTTGAAGTTGAGAGGAATAGTATCTCAAAAGAAAAAAGTAATAATAATAATAGTGTTAATAATGATAATGACAATGATAATGATAATAATATAAATAATAATAATAATGATACATAATGATAATGATAGATAATGATAATAATAACAATAACAATCATGATAATAATTATGATGATGGCGAATGAATAGGTTGTGCGTTTTTTTCATATAAACTCTTTTAGACAGTTGTATTTTGCTATTAAGATCGCAACACAGTTTAGTACAACTAAGGTATACGGGAGTATTAGTGTTTCGATATCATAGTATTGTTATTATTATCAGCATTATTATTTTTATCGTTATTGTTATCATTATCATTATTATTATTATTATCATTGTTATTGTTATTATCATTGCCATTATTCACTCCATATTGTTGTTGCCATCATTGTCATTACTAATATTATCATTACCATTACTCTTATCATCATTATTATTACTGCTATTACATTTACTGGTATTATCAAATGTCCAGTGCAAATTTTCACGACCAATCTTCAGCATAATTCAGGAAACTGATATCTATTGACGCCATCATCTATATCATTATGATGCAGCTGCAGCATTATCGTGATGCTCATAATATTACTCTCATAATGATGGCAGAAATGTAGTTATAGCAAGAGTAGTAGTATTGGCAGTAGTTGTTGTTGCTATAGTATTAGTAGCATCAACAGTAAAACTGGTAGCAGTTGTTGGTAGTGATAGCAGAAACAGTAGTAGTAGTAGCAGCAGTAATAGTAGTATGTAGTGCTAATACTAGTATTCGTTATAACATCAACAGTAGTAGTAGAGATAACAGTAATAATGGCAATTTAGCAGCACAACGCGATTAATATTTTTTCACAAGCCATACGAAAATGCATTGTTGTTAACAATAGAGAAAAATGAACTCTAGCTCCATTTCAGTAAAGACCAGAATCGATAAGAAAACTTTTATCATGATAGGATCAACTCTTAATACTATTCACAGTCGAATTTCTTATCTATGGAATGTTCCCACTTGCCTTATGCCTTATGTCTGCTTGTCAGGAGCATTGCCGTTATGTCTGTTTGCATACTTCAGCCTTTCCCTTGCGTTTTACTCGTTTCTTTATTTGTTTATTATTTTGCATTTCTGTTCATATCGTCTCTCTCTCTCTCTCTCTCTCTCTCTCTCTCTCTCTCTCTCTCTCTCTCTCTCTCTCTCTCTCTCTCTCTCTTTCTCTCTCTCTCTCTCTACCTCTCTCCCCCTGGTTGTAACTTGAAACAGGAAAGGTCAGATCAGGTCAGGTCCCCACGTTCACATACTAGAGAACCACAGCCACTCATGTTCATCAGCCTTCCACGATCTTGTGAAAATGCCCCATCGCTTATTCTTTCTCGTAACAATAACATCAGTAACTGGAACGGCGAAGACTACCGTAATAATATGTTTCTACGACTGCTAGTTACGACAGTGATAATGTTGATGATGATGATGCGAGTAATGATGATCAAGATAATATTAATAATAATAACATTAGTAATAATAATAATAATGACATTAGTAATAATAATAATAATATCATTAGTAATAATAACAATAATAACATTAGTACCACTAATAATAAGAAAAGTAATGATAACAAATATAAAAATAATTAATGTGATAATGATAATAATGATCATGCTAATGATGATGATCATATCAATAACAACAACAGTAATGATAATAACAATATAATGATAATGGCAGCAATAATGATAGCAATAATGATAATGATAATCATAATAACAACAGGAATAACAACAACAAGAGCAACAACAATAATAATATTAACAATAATAATATCGACATCAACAGCAACAGCAGCAGCAACAACAATAATAATGATAATAATAATAATAATAACAGTAATATTACTGCTACTACTGCTGTTCAATAATGCTGATGATAATGATGACAACAGTAACAATAATGATGTAATAATGATAATGATGATGAAGATGGAAATATGAAATGAAGATGAAAATAAAGGTGATGGTGATGATAATGATGATAATAATATCAATAATAATAGTATTAACACCAATGACAATTTATAACAACAACAATTATAATAATAACAATAACAGTACTGTTTACAATGACCATGATAATGATAATAATAAAGATGACCATAGTAATTATTAAGATGGTAATGATGAGGATCAAGATTATAATGATGTTCTAATATCATTCCTTGTTAGTATTACGATGGTCGGAAAAGGAGGAATGTGATATAAAAATAGTGGTGATGAATAGACGGAGGTGAGGAAGCCGATTAAGATGAATATGAGGATGAAGATTTAGATGTGGATGATGAGATTATGATAATGATAAGGATGACGATAATAACACATATGATACATCAGCCTCAATAACAATACAAATGTAATAACTACAGCAACAATAGTACTGCCACTAGTTAATTATGACAGCACCAGCAGAAGTAGTACACAATATACATATTTGTTGTGCTGAACATATGCGGGTCCGAATGGGTGGGGACGGGGCAGGGGACAAGGACCTCCAGAGGCAGAAGGAATACGAGCTTAAGGTTTCACCACGAGCTGGACACGTGATCGAGGATAATATATTTTTTTAGTCCTAAACCCTGGCCTTGATTTTCGCATTCTGGTTTTGTAAGGATAGTTTGTGATGAAGCATGTAGTTTCGTTGGTGATTATGGTTTAGGTAAAGGGATAGGGGAGAGGAGAAATGTAAAAATGTAAAAAAAAATATATATATATATAATGTTATGGGAAATTCGACTGTCTATGTAAAGTCGTTTATCCTTGGGCTAGTCAGTCAAAACATTAAGACCTAAATATAACAATGTGTACCTTCCAAGGATACGTACTTTTCTTATCTCATTATCACGGCAAGGCAACGATATGTCGGTGACATTGGGTGCTGGTTGTAGCCGACCATAATCATCAGTGTGTGACTACCAACCAAAGAAGTAGGACTATCGTCACGCGCTCTCACCTAGAGGGCGTCTGTTATGTGATACTTGGTTCCTTTAAGATGTTCCTATTTTGTGAAATAATACAGCGCGAAAAAGAAGACAATCGAAAAGATTTAAAATACAAGAGTTCGTGACATATCTAGGATTTGCATAAAAAAACGGGAAAATGGAGGCAAGAGATTTTAACGCCATAAGGATGTAAGTACACTTATGTGGTAATACGTGTGCAAAAGGGTCAATGTTATCACATCAAAGTTACATTTACATCACACTAAAATAATGAGAATATTATATGAAACATTTGTGTTCATTCAGCGAATTTACACATTAAAAAGCAAACCACACAGTATATGCAATAAGAACAATCTCTTTTTAAAGATTAAAGATAAAATCGTGATGCACATAAAGGAAGATAATATAAAAAACTAAAGGTAAAGGTAAAGATACAATGTAAACGATAAAGCAGCGACTCTCGTGTGGTGAAGGTTTAAGGTACCTTTCGCGACCTTGAAAGTTCAGGGTCTGTGTTGTGCCGTTTCTTTTTTATGTTTAAAGTTCCGACAATGGTAGTTATGGTACAGATGTGATGGTGATTATGATGACGATATTGGTGGTGTGTATTATTTTAAGTCTATTATTTATTTTGAATAATGTATAATCGTTATGATGGAGAAAATTACGATACTGGTAGTGATGAAATAGTACAAGTAGTTGCTTACTAATAGTATTTACGATAATACAATGGTAATAGTAATAAT